GTAGTAGTAGTAGTAGTAGTAGTAGTAGTAGTAGTAGTAGTAGTAGTAGTAGTAGTAGTAGTAGTAGTAGTAGTAGTAGTAGTAGTAGTAGTAGTTGTAGTTGTTGTAGTTGTTGTTGTTGTTGTTGTTGTTGTTGTTGTTGTTGTTGTTGTTGTTGTTGTTGTTGTTGTTGTTGTTGTTGTTGTTGTTGTTGTAATGAGCCATAGATAAAGAATAGAGGGGATCCTGTTGTGGTCGGACAGGCCAAGGAAAGGCTCCAGTAAGGAATACAAGTAGTAGCCACTGGTACTCTACAACGGAATTGTGATTGGGAGAGAATCTGTCAGCGCTGCTAAGTAATCCGGCCACGTGATTCCAAAAAGGCCTTTTCATCTTGTTTACATACGGAACGTAGCTAGTTCAACCAACCATTAAGAATCATATCAAACACGTCCCAGAACCTCCCCTAAAGCCTCTTAGTTTGTTGACAGGTTATAAGCCCGGAGCCTCTCAGGTTCTGGGACAAGCCCTTTTACAGTTATTTCTTCCCTTATTAGTTAAATTTAATGCTTTTCGTGATTGCCAAGTCCTTTTATTAATAAATAATATTATTGCTACTGCTAAGATGCCCAAAATCACCAAGCCTCCGTATGTCCTTACTAGCTCGCAGAACTGGCATTTTTAGAGCCTCTGTATCAAAGCCCAACTCTGTGTTCATTCCACTTGGGATATCCTTATCAAATCAGTTGATAAAAAGGATAAAGAAGCGATTGAAAAGGCTAAAAAGAAGTAAGAAATTATAATTGGATTAATATTAAACTTGCTATCAGACTCGATTCTGGAATCCCTTCTTCAATACACCGATATTAAAGTGCTTTGGCAGTTTCTTAAAGAAAAGTATAACAGTTCTAATAAGACCCAGTCCCTACAAGGCCTTCAAACCGTAATGAAAACTCTTTCAAGCGACTGTATCAACATTGAGGAATATATCGGCAAGATTAAGAATGGAATCCGTCTGATTAAAAGTCGCCTTTTTTTAGAGAAAAAGAAATAGTTTCCGAAATAGTTCTTATGTGACCTTTTACTTGCAAATCTTAATAATCCACACTGGGAGACTTTTGTTACCATTTATCTCAGGGAATCTAAAGAATCAAGTTTCAAAGACCTTACCGCCCAGATGATTGAACAAGAAAAACGGATGCAATATCAAGATTCCTTATTAAATCTTATTAAGGCTAAGAAGGGCAAGCAGTTGTTAAAGGCTTTATGCAAAGAATGCAAGGCTTGGATCTGTAAACACTGTGGAAAGAATAGTCACAAAAAAAAGGCCTGTTGGCAGTTACACCCGGAATTAAAGCCGGAGAGATTCAAAAACCAGGACAAGCCTGGGAACCATATTAATATCGCCGAAGGAACTGATATCGCCTTTTAATTTCGTCATTCAGCATTGGATTTGCTATACAAGTTTGTATGAGAACTAGATTGCCACAGGACTGCAAGAGACTACCGCCCAAGGCCATGGGTAAGGGATTTAAAACTACTAAAAAGGTGAGAAGGACTGCTACAAGCGAGAGATGCCGCCGCAGGCGAGAAACACTATATATTTTAGTTTATTTTGCTTTATATGGCTACTTTGGCTTCACGGTGCGGATTAAGAGGGCGTGTCAGCGCTGCTAAGTAATCCGGCCACGTGATTCCAAAAAGGCCTTTTTATCTTGTTTACATACGGAACGTAGCTAGTTCAACCAACCATCAAGAATCATATCAAACACGTCCCAGAACCTCCCCTGAAGCCTCTCAGTTCGTTGACAGAATCCACCCGAGTGATTGCGAGTGGTAGACGGAACAACAAATGATGATTCCCTGACAAGCACTAACCATCAGCACTAACCAAACTAAACTATACCACTCCACATACTTCAGCCGCCCCATCAGCAAGGCTACAAAACCTCTAGGATATGTAACTGCTCAAGATGCAGACATCTACCCTGTTCCCACGCCGCACCACAACTCAATTCCCCCAAGAAATCAATCACCATGGAAGTCCACGTACAACGACCCGGCCGGCTGGGGGATCGTGCCCGCGTGGGGCTACGCCACCGTCCTCGAAAGCACAATCCCCGACCTGCCGTCCGGCACAACGATCTTCGGATACTGGCCGGCGTCCGGCCACGTGGTGGACCTCCAACTGACCTCCGGGGAGCCACACGGCCACTGGACGGAAGTGTCCCCGCACCGGCGGGGTCTGTTCTGGCTGTACAACCAGTACACTGCCGTGGTCGTCGTCACCTCAACCAGAAGCCTGGAGACGCTGGGCTGGGACTGCACCGTGCGCACGATCTGGACTTGCGGCTATCTCCTCAGCGAGTACGTCTTCACCCCCGACCCCGCGGCTCATCCGCCGCTGCCCCCATCCCCGTCCCCGTCCCCGTCCCCAGAGGGGTCGAAGCAGTGGACCGCCGACGACGCGGACATCTCCCACGCCGTCGTCATCAGCCTGGGCGCGTCAACAAAGACCGGCCGCGCGCTCGCGCATAATCTCGCCTGCAGGCCCGCGGAGACGGGACCCCTGGGCTTCCTGCAGGTCACCTCGGCGCCGGCTGCGATCGCGGACGCCGCGACGAAGCTCGCGCCGCCGTTCCCCACCAAGGCCGTGTCGTACTCCGACATCGCGGCGGCGACGGAGGAGTGGCTGGCTAGCAAGCAGGCGCCTAAGATCGTGCTGGTCAATTTCGGCAGTCGAGATGGCGGGGTCGAGCAGGTGTTGGGCTTGATCCGGAATAATTCGGTCTTGGAGGCTGCTAAGCTTGTTTTCATCGGTGTGGGACTCCAGCAGAAGGTAGGGAAATATCGTTTGTGCACTTCTCGATTGATCGTCCGGAGCAAAAGGCTAACTTGACGGGAATGAAAGGTTCACACGATTGACGAGCTTGTTGCCATGGGTAATGTCGCTGCCCAATTGGGCATTGTTCAGCTCAGTACTTCATCAATTATGGAAGCTGCTCTCGGTGTTGTAGATCACAAGAAATTCTTTGACGAAGTGGATGAGCGCTGGAATCACTGGTTGGCCAATCGGGCATCCGCTGCCCCTGATCTGCGTCTGGTCTGGGGCAACGGGGTCGTTGGTGCAGAGGGCCTTGAGGGAGGCTGGAAGTCGCTGTGCAAGAGTCAGTTAAAGCCCGAGGAGGCTTTGGTTTATCGTCTGTATGATGAAGCATCGGCACACCAGTCCCAAAGCTTTTAAATATGTTTAGACAAGAAAGGCCTTGATGCCATTAGTCCTTGATCTTGGTACGAGTGACGATCTGAACTGGGAATGCGAATCCACCTTCGATTTTTAGACACCATCCTCTGTGGTTTATCATTGTGCACATATGTACCAGAGGATTGCAGATACTGTAGAACGGATGATTCTGATTGTCGGGAGCCTATCCGAGGAAATAACTCATTCATGAACGCAAGACTGATCATCCCATAGAATCTCAATGCCCATAGCTCAGCAGAATAATCTAGATTCGCTTCCAGCTAGCTTAAATTGCTTCGCAAGATTCAATTACCAACCCCTGCCTCTTACCTCAATTATAGCCCCTTTACAAACTTTGATCATGCTAGCTTTGACTCCCCCACCCCATGCACCTGTTCTTTTACCGCAGACCATGCCCATTGGGGCAGTTTCCACGTCAACCACCAATTCCCCGCCGCGTCCTTACCCATCATCGGCCCCAGGTTCGTCGGCATGGGGCTGTGCACACATGCATTCGCAATGATATAGGAAGGTCGTCCCACTGGGTTCGCGCGTCGCCGCTCCCCTTCTGCTGTCGGCGCACCAATCGAGGTGACTGCCGCCGAGAAGTCAATCTCGAAGAGCCGGCCCTTGTGCCAGTTCGACCACGCCATAAGAACTGTGTCGTATTCGCCGAAGAGCGTCGCATCGACCCCTTTCGCCTCAAGAGTCGCTCGGATCAACGCCGCCAGGGCTTCCACCTGCGGCTTGGTGCGCTGCTGGATCAGTGAGTGGCGGATGTGGGCGGCCAGCTGGCTGACCGGCATGGCGAGGATGTCGCGGACCCGGAGGAGGGTGTAGGCCGGAAAGGTGACGTTGCCGATGACGGCGACATCTTGCGAGGGATCGGCCAGGTCCGGGGGCAGGACAAGCGAGCGGAAGTCGAAGATGTTCATCAGCGCGAGCAAGCGATTCGGGGCCGGGTTCAGCGCTCGAATTGTCACTTTGGTCCACCACGCTAGGAGAACATCGCTTTCGCTAAGGAATGGAGCTGGAGAATGTGCTTTTTCTCCTGTGGTGGTGTTGAGTTCCTGGATCGCCTGGCTTCGCATTCCGTCGACAAAGGCTCCGGGGATGCACAGAATATGCTGCTCTTCCGGACCCCGCCAGAAATACTCCCACAGAAAGTGCACGGCAACGAGAATCATGTGAAACCCTTTGAGCAAGAGGCCCTGAAGCACAAACGGCTCCACAGAGGTCGTGCTTTTCAAAGTGTGCATTGGAGTCGTGTCGAATCCGAGGAACGTCGGCACTTGGTCTTCTTGGCCGCGGAGCACAGCTGCCCAAGCTGCGAAGAAGCTGGACATACCCATTCCATCCATGAGGGTATGCAGGAAGGTTATCGTTAAGATGGTTGTGTCAGTGAATGCAGCAGCATGGATCGTGAGCTGGGGCCGGTCCGTGTAGATGTAATCGTCCAGACATTGCGGCGCCTGTGCATGGCGACAAAGGGAAATGGTCTCATCGACTGTGCCGAGTACACGAGGCGTATCTGTTGCCGTGGGGAGTTTCGACGCCAGAGGATGCTCAGCAGCTTTCATCGGATAACTCTCGGAGGTGAGAATGAAACCTGGTCGCTGAGCGGTGTATTCCCGCGGGATATGGTACTCAAGCTGCCCGGCATCCTGGGGAGGAGTTCAGCGCAGATGAATCTTTTTGGGGCGGGGTAATACATACATTTCGTCGTAATCGTGCTCCTAGCTTGTGCCAGTCTCCCAGCTGCAGTAGTCGCGTCAGAGATCGATCAAGCGTCTTCACATCAAGCACGTCGTCGAATCGATAAGCGACATCCATACAGATACTGTGTTGATATGGTCGGCCATCCCAGAAACCGAGGGGGACGATGGTGTCGGTCGGTGTTGTTACAGGCCGAGGGGGCTTAGTTTTGCCAAAGAGCTTGAGGATCTCCATGGTTGCGATTCGAGGGGTGGTTGGGTTGGTGGGTGAAAGAAGGAGAATCACAAAGATTTACTTTGTCTCCGTAGTGATTAGTCCGATTAGTGCTTACAGATTCATCTAGCGCGTGGCTGAGTGGGGCCGACAGGCAAATCGGGGGGCCCTTGGGATTGTCGGCCCGACCCTTGATATTCCACTTCGTACCTGGTACCGCTACCTCATGAATGCCCTCCAGAGATGTATAGAACGAAGAGACTACTCAGTCATATTCAAGCTGGCTCGGAAGGGACGAAGGGAACTGACGGAACCGAATTCTTGTCAATATGAGTACAACGATTGAAAACGAGCGTCGACCGATATATGAGGGAGTAAAACAATGGGTGGGAAGGACAGCCATTCTCAAAGTTGGCATGCTGACATCATAGATTTAGGATCCTCTTAATGCGACTCGTAGGGTTTGTGTATGTGTCTCTCAGCCAGGGAATCTGCTCTTGCAAACCTGGTGGTCTGTGCCCTGCTGCAACTTGTTATTCCGAGTGAGATCGGTACATAGGTAACCATAAGAAGCTTTACACTGTGGCTTCAGCCTGATCCCTTGTGTCCGGCTGCCCGCTCGTGCCACATCAGCGAACAAGCAAACCTCGCACCTTCCCTGCATAGCGTTCGGTCTAAACCCGGCTTACATGCTGATACCAAGATAGCTCTGGTTGAACAAGAAAGCCTCGGTAGCATCTGCGATTTACCATCAACGTATACACACTGGCACAAGATCTGTCTTAGACGAGAAGACAAGCCTTCCCTTTCTTGGGCCTGGCAGATAATGTGCTGGCACCGTCCCACTCGAATTCCCAGGCAAAATGCACCATGTTAGAACCTGATCGAGCTAATCGTACCTTCCCGAAGCTCTCTTCAATTTCAGCAAGAGGCCCCTTGAACCCGACTTTCCACCCATTCTAGCAACCCCCTGATAGCCCGCAGCGCATGGGTAGTAGAGCCAGCATCCTCGCCGTCAGCGAGTGAGCACCATGACGCCGTGATGACATCCTACAGCCTCAGCAGCAGCAGAAAAAAAAAAACAAATGCTGCCGCGACTGGGACTCGAACCCAGAATCTGCACTCCACACCGCTAGCATAAGGCTAGTACGGGGGCTCTGCAATGTTAATACCACTACACCACCGCGGCTGTTGTTGTACAGTAGCACTCGAGACTAAATTCTAACCCAGCGGCCTTAAGATGTTTTGGGCTGTTGCTCGCCGGTATATGCATATTCGAGCAGTTTGAAGAGTGTAATATGTAGCTTGGTGCTCTGGCTTTCTGACAAGATACATATGGGAACATTTTACAGGTGTTCATGGTGGAGGGAGGAAATTATAGCTCTTGGTATAGGGTGGAGTACGGGATGTAGGGGGATCTCCACTGTACCTGCCGGGGCCCCACATAGTGGGTACCTTGGATTCTTGGGCAGTCAATTCAAGCATCGCTCTTTCCATGCTATGAGCAGTGCGACAAGGCGTCTAGATCACTGTTCATGGCGATATTGGCTTGATATTTGAAAAAAGAGCCAGCTTTAGGGTATAGGATTAAGGATCTGGTAGGTTTTAGTCTGCATATAGTTTTACGATGGGTTGATGAGTCATGGTCACATGGGCTTGTAGCTCAGTGGTAGAGCGCTCGCTTCGCATGCGAGAGGTCAGGGGTTCGATTCCCCCCAAGTCCATTCTTTTTGGACCTTGTCCTTTTTTCCAGACACAGTGGGCATGAAGTACATAAACAATAGTGTCAATCGAACCCCGAACGAGGGGACGAGATACGCCGCCGTTTCTTGTATAGAGTAAGGGGTACGATGCCATTCTACGTAGTGAATATTTGTTCGCACATGGCAGTACAGTACTTACTTCAATCTTGAACAGAACTGAAATTGGTCGCAGTCATTCTAGCCTACCACTCGCCCGCAGTTGTCACTCATACACGGCCCTATTACACATAGCCCTATGCGTGCTGTGGCCGCGAGCGGTGCTTGAGGTTGGGAGCCCTGGGTGCTAACGTATCTGCTACAAGGTGGGAGGAAAGAGCTCAGATAGGTTATGGTTTACTCGTGGCAAATTGCGATACCACCATTCGCCGGTAGGTAGTATAATATCTCACATAGCATGCTTTACCCACCATCTCTTCAAAGCAACAACGCCTGTCTCTTTTAGGCACTGTCGTTCTTTGCGGCGACTCCTATGAAAGTAGGACAGTAGCCGCTTTGAGTACTAGCTTTCTTGAATCACCAAATCTTCTTAACTCGTCACATGACTACACGTTACCTTAGCCTTATGGCTGGGCCTGTTGTTCTCCCATCTGAGGGAGACTTACTGTACATGAGTACATACACATAACGCGGGGCTCCGCATTGCAACCGACCATGACAACCGCGCAAACCAAAGCCCTCACAACCGTCGAGATCCTCGAGAACATTCTTCTTCAGGTGGATATCCAGTCTCTTCTGACATCCGCCCAGCGCGTCTGTCATGCATGGCACGACCTCATCTCCACGCCTGCCCTGCAAAAACACCTCTTTTTGACCCCGGACTGGAATCGACCGCAACCAGAGCGCAACCCGCTTTTAGTCCATATTTTTCCGGGCTGGTTCATCACTGGCCAAATCGCCGATGGCGAATACCGGGGGAAGATCGGGCGCGACGGCATCAATCCCCGCTGGGATTTGACGCAACCCGACCAGAAGGAGTCTTTCATCCGGAAAGAAGCCAGCTGGTGGCGCATGCTCGTGCAGCAGCCCCCAATCCGGGAGTTATTTTCTTTCGACATAATGCAAAACCGAGGCGGAGAGAGGGTCGATGGTTTGTCTTATACCGAGTTCGATGATGAGGATGAGGACGAGGATTATGATGATGCTGCTGATGATGATGATGTTGATGACGATGGTGGCGATGGTGGAGAAGATCTCTCCCCCTTCATAGTTGGACAACCGACGGAGCCTCTGCGAATGGGGAAGCTGGTGAAGGAGGCCCCTAGTACCTCTGACCGTATTGAGGTTCTCTGGAGTATCAAGGACTATCGACTTCACCGTTCTATGTTTATTCGCATCAGGAAGCGAGATGTTCGGATGCTGCGCAGTGCGCTCAGGAGGAGTGGAATGATTGTGATCATGAAAGCGATCGTGCAATGTGCCATGGGGGTCCCGCCTCCGCAGATAGCATGGAGGGCAAGCCAGAGGCGCTGGTGGGCGGGGGTTGAAGAGCCTACGAGACGCGATAGGGGTCATCTAGCCAAGAGGCAGCGTTGCAGTTAACGGTGGTGATATCATCAAACATCACCAATTTCTGAAATAAACTTGACATACCAGCAAGATGCTCAAGCTGTGTGCACTGCCGGAAAGACAAGGACACAATGTGTCAGGAGTCCATGATGCCTGGACCCTGGTGAGGGATCATAACACAACTCCACCGCGGCCGTTGCAGATGGCCCACCGCGTGGTGACCGAGTCGCAACAAACAGTGGCTCATGTAGTGTGTGAGGTTTAAGCACATGGAAGGCTGGCATGGTTTCGACGAGGCCGGATTTATTGCTACTTTGGGGGTATAATGAGGGACGAGTCAGGGTGTCTATTATTCAGAAGTTTTCTTAGATTTTGCCATAGTCCGAACCCTACGAGCCCTTATTGACAGTGAACTCAATTATTCCAAATCTCGCCTCCAGCAAAAAGGAGGTTTTCAGCGTGCAACTTGCGTAACTCGTTCCGTCTATAACAATTACCTCCACTCAGCACGTACCTCATGCTCCATTCTAGCAATAGTACCGCCCATCCCAGCCCATTCGCCATGAAGATACCTCAACTAGCAGATACTGTACCACACATCTCGAAAAGCGAAAGCAGCCGTCAACGGTCATGTTCTATCATGACCAACTGCATTCCTGTCCAACCCCTTCGATGCGGGATAAGCGAGGGCTACCCAAAAATGATAAGGATGATAAGCCATCCCTCAAGTAAGTATAAGAGAATAAAGATTGCAAACACCTTCCTCCGTCTGATCGGTGTGATGTCGACCATCTAAGCACGTAAACATGAGAATGGTCCCTGGAAGATCACGAGCTTATAGCTCTTCTTCCTCAGTAGCCATGGAATCATGCGGTGGAGGGTTTACACCCGTGCTGGCTGCTGTAGTCCCAGTGGGGTTTGAAGCATCATCATTGCTGATCTCGTGCGACAAACCTGACTCCATTCGTCGGCGCATCACATCTTCATCTGCTTGTGATACGCTAGCTCGCTGTTTCTTCAGAGGGCTGCCGATGAATTGACCATCAATCGCATTAGCCGCTGGCTTGGGAGCTTCAGCAGCGACAGTTGACGGAGGTACAATCGGAGGTGTTGTGGAAAGATTAGAAGATGGAGCTGATTCTCCGGGCGCCCGAGGACTTCCAGTATCCGTCGGAGGAGTGTTAGTGGCAAGCGACGCCGACGAGTGCTGCCGTTTGAGCTGAAATGACAGTTAGTCAGGCAAACAGAGATGAAGCACGAAGCAGGATTAACTCACCTTAATCTTACGAATGCTCTCCGCCAATTCGCCCTGCTGCCTGAGATCTTCCGGAGAAAGATGGACATCATCATCCTTGCCCTCTTCAGCGTCTGCTTTACCAAGGATGGAATTCTCGTCATCGTCTTCACTATCCATGTCATCATCGCCAACAGCCTTGCCACCCTTCTTTCCTCGCTTTTGGTTTTCTGTGCTCTCTCGGAATTTCAGGAAGCCAACGGTGCCGCCAGGCTTGAGCGGGCCAAGATTGGAAAAATCTGGTTGTATCGACCGACGCTTTACAGACCCAGGAGTGTCCTGCACTTTGGCATCCTTGAGGATCCCCATCTTCTGAAGTTGCCCTAGATAAAAGTCAGTTTCGACAGCTGATATATGGGCCGGGTCACGACTTACGCTCTCCGCGGTACATGAACGTGAAGGTCGCGTAGGGTTTATCAGACGCATCAATGCTCGTCACAGTTTGCGTACTGATCGTCTTGGGATCGAGTGTTTTCGGCTTAGCAAAGCTCGTGGTGTGGTCAACGTTGGCGTCCGATGCGCCGTTGTTGTTGTCATTGCCGCCTGAGACATCGTCGTCGTCATCGTGCGCATCGAATTGAGGCGAGTACTCTCCCCGTTTGACCTCGCCAGAAGCCAGAACCCGAAATAGTGCCACCTTGATCTGCCCTGCAGACTCGGGGATCGGGTCGTCATCAGAATCGGAGAACGACATATCTTCATCAGAGACATCTTCCAAGGGAGATTTCGAATCATTCCCGTAGCGCATTATGTCTCTCTCCTTTCGTGACTTCGCATCCGTGTCCATACCACCGCTTTCTTCGCGTTTCAAGCGACGCTTTTCCATCTTCTGTCGTCGTCGCTCAATCTTGGCCGCCGCATCTTTTCCTTCCAGGTCTAGACCATTTAACCATCTCTCCAGTCCGACTTCACGGAAAAGGAACTCCCGTTCGGCCAGACCGCCGCCCTCGGAGTCCGGAACACTGACCCATCTAGAGTTGACCCAAGTCTCCTCGCCCCTCCGCAGGAGCGTAGCCACCTCCTCCTTCTGTCGGCCGTCGAAGTAGATGTACGCAGCGACCGTCTCGTTTGGCGAATTGGTCAACGGCTTGTAGGGGATCACCATACTAGAGTATTGCCCCCGCTCTTCGGTCGGGCCGGGAAGTCCTCCAACAACTTTAGGCCTGGGTGCGGGGTTGTCGGGTGTCGCTTTCGGAGCAGAATAAGGGACATCTTGACCGGGGTTCAGGAGCGTGATAGAGATGGCGAAAGTCGACTGTTCTGGTCGGCCCGATCCGGAGTCAGGTATCTTTGGAGGCGGTACCGGAATGTAGCAAGCTATGCGAGAGGCTCGAGATTGACGTTGGATCGAGTATTCGGAGATCGGGCCATCCGGAGTGTGTATACTCACAGCGAGACCCTTGAAGCAGGGCATGGCGGGATAAAAAGATAGCAGTAAACACAGTAATTGAGAGAGAGTCGTGGAAGAACAAGGTCAAACCAGGCTGAATGAAAGAGAAAAGGAGGGGGGGTGGGAGAAAGGAAAGTGGTGAGGGGTGAGGGCGCGCGTGTGATTGTGCGAAGGTGAGCTGGTCGTGTGTTGTGGAGGCGGTCAAGACTGAAGTAGTGAGTTCGGTGTGTGTGCCTGCTACCACCAGCCCCCGGCGGGGATATAGAATGACCGAAACAGATAGATCGCGGAGATGGACGGCTGCCCCGAGGTTGTCGCTCAATGCTAGCGCAAGATCGAGGTGAGGGAGAGATCGATCGCGTTCGAATTTCTTAGCGATTTTATCGCTTTGTAAAACATAGGCATATAGTATTAGCCGTGCAGTATGATGACAGAGAAGGAGGGAGAGGGAGAAAAAGAGAAAGAGGGGGGGGGGGTTTGACGGGGGTTGACGCCGATCAAGAATGAGGGGGGGGGCTGGGGAGGGGGAGGAACCATCTAAACATACCAGGTATAGTTGATTCCTGGGAAAGACTCCGGTTCAGTGTTGGCGAACTCGATTAAAGAGAGGTATCCAGCAAGAAAATTTGGTCTTATTGACCAAATGGCGAGTGCGGAGCAGGACAAAAAAAAGGAGAGAGGGGTTGGGTGGTGGGAGGATGGGGAGAAAGAAGTGTGTGTCAGAGAGAGACAGAGGCAAAGGCAAGGAAGAGAGAGAGAGAACCTTTGAGGGGAAGGAAGGAGGAGGGAGGGATGAATGTGGAGAGGTGAGGATCACCGCCGGCTGAAACTCCGCCTGCTTCCTTGGATCACTTCCGCCTCCCCCCTTTGGCTCGTCTTCCCTGATGTCAACCTCACGTCAAAGCAGTCGTGTTTATTTAATTACGATACTGCAAAGAGCGATCATCGTTTTTGTGGACTATATCTGATAGTGTATCTTGAATGACCTTCCCGTCATTACTTACTCTCTGCATTTTTACTCTAAAGGGCCAAAAGACCTGTTAGTGAGACAAATCCGACGGCCAGTCTATGGTGTATTCCGCCTCTTTCGCCATGTCCGTCCCAATAACTACCACGGAACCTGCGCGTTGTCTCTAGAACCCTCGTCGTCGCGCCTCGTCTCGAGCAATATTAGCCAGATCAGGAAAGTCTCGGTGGAGGTTGCTGAAAAGCACCTCGGCCTTTCGTCGCTTCTGTTCTTCCACCTGCTTCTGCAACTCGGCAACCTTTTCGAGGAGCTTCGCATGCGAATCAACAAGCGATAGGTCCAATAACTCTTCTGCATACTGGCGTAGCGAGTCCAGCTTTTTCTCGAGAGCGGCGATGCTGATATCGCCCTTGAAAGAGTATGTGTTGTCTTCTGGTGGGGTAGACGCTATAGAGGAATATTGTGCAGGCAATGCGCGCGGAAGCTGTTGCGCTCGATCTGAATTCCGGTCTTCCACGAGGTCACTAATACGAAGTTGACCCTTTGTGGCTTGGCTTCGCACAGAGGCTAGCTCCGTCTGCTCTGCTGGATTGTCCCTTATTTGGGTCAAGGTCTTGGTCTGTTGATTTTCCCCCGAGTCATAGGTCCGAATGTCGAGGGAAGCATGAGGGCCATCAGTTTGCCGTCCTGGTCTAATGGTATCCTCATTGAAGTGAGTTCTCGGTCGCTTCCCACTCTGTAAAGCATTACATGGCTGCGGAGATACGTTCTGGGCCGCTCTTTTGCCTCTCCTCTGGTCAAATACATTATCAACGAAGCCAGTAATGCGCCCTCGTTGGTCGACTGGTTTCACCCGGGCTCGCACAGGCTTGTCCTTACTTCGATACGGCTGTGAAAAGTGGCAACACCGACAGTTGCACACCTGCGAGCACTTCGGGCAGGTCCAAGAATCTGCATTTTTGAGATATGGAATCAGATCGATATCGAAGTGTCTGTGGAGCCCGCGAAAACAGAAGAATGCATCGCATCGTGAACATGTCATTCCTTTCCATACCGAGTGACTATCACGGCATAGATGGCAAAGTCGTTCCTATTCCGATTGTCAACCAGTTGTTACACCTTGGTAAAGTCTGCAGGAGGCTGATTTACCGTAGACTGCTTTCGTGCAGTGGCTGCTGCTGCGGCCAATGTTCCCAAAGACTTTCGACTAAAGAAAGCAACTATTAGCTAAGAACAAACATTTTCGTAAATTGACTGAGACGGAGGCTAGTTGGCTGTAAGAGGTCGCATAGGAATAAGACAAAGAGAAGGACCGTAATGAAGGCAGGCAGTGTTTCTTCGGAATGTTGTCTGCAATAACCAAAATGTTTGAGGGTCCGTACTTAGTACGCGAGGGACTTGAAGTCTGCTGTGCACCTAACTTGCTTCGCGCACTGCTAATGACATCTTTGCAGTAGTCCCTTGGAAGCAGTTCAGCCCAAATGAAATTGCTGAAGTGTTTACAGCTGCGTCCAGACACGAAGCACTTGAGACATAGGTCAAAATCTCCACACTGCTCGCAATGCAAATGACGATTCCAGATCGTCAGGCCGCAAAAGTTGCATTCGACCACCGCACCTTGAGTGTCTATAAGCTTCAACTGTACGCTTGTTTCATTCTCGATGTCTTCATCCTCGATCATCTGCTGAAAAAGACTTAGAAGAAGAGCATCATCTTCGGGGCGGCAAGACCCGCTTTCCAGTGCATGTAGAAGAACCA